TATAACTAATCAAAAACATTTTTTTATTGATTTTTTAATAGATAAATTTATAACAAAAATTGGTATTAGTTCTGAATCTTGCCATTTCAAAAAAAAAAAGTTCTGAATCTTAAATAGGAAAAACACTTTTTACGATAATTAAAAATCACACGAGGTGGCCTTTCCTGCACCAACTAATCCTAGTCAAATTTGATGTGCTCATAATTGATGTTTTATGGGTTTTAATTATTTTTTATTAAAAATATTTATTAATCATATGTTTATACTTTATAGTTTATAGTCACAAGTTCTATTATTATTGTTTTAATTTAAATGAACTATAATATAAACATTAATCAATAAGGGTTATAATGTAAACTAATCCTCTTGTCCTACATGATACAAACAGTTGGTTGATAGAGATGAACCCATGAAAAATGAAAAGAAATAAAAATATGACCTGATGTTTCGTAAAACACTGTCAGTAGGCCAAGCCCTTGAGGTCTTGGGTCTCATCTTGTATTCTATTTTTGCTATTGCCTATTGGGGATGATTTGTTTTGATAGAAAAATATAATTAAGAATCTAAGATAACCTTAGTTTATTGCTACACTTTGGGGAAACAAATGTTTTTGAACCGGATAATATTGACACAAAAGAAATTAGCAAGAAGCTATAAATACAAAACATACAAAATAAAGGAAAGACATTACATAGCAACTTACAAACAAGAAATGCAAACAAAGATGCAACCCAAGCACGAACCAATTCAATTTATAGACTTCCCTTACTTCTTCCAACCGTTCATCCAAAGATGAGATAGAGCTTGAATCTCTGTTGCGAGCACCGAATGGGATTTGATGTCATTTGAATAAACTTTGAGGTTGTGTAGCTCCAAAGTATCCACACAAAAAATCAGTTGTATGGCCGTCAAACAAAATTCTCAATTTGTCGTTTCGTGTGGTATTCTTACCCAAAAGCAATTCATCCATAAAATATATTAAAGTGGGAAGAAGCCACCACAAAACCAATTTTTGCTCAAAGTGTTAGTCTTATAGTGTGGAGGGAAGATTGTAAACAACACATTTTCGGTTTATGAAATAGAACTAATGTGTGATAGACAATTTCAAACACAAACACATACAAGTAATAGTACGAAAGTAAAGTGTAAGGAAAAAGAAAATAAACTTCGTTACCAAATGACCATGTTTACTATATAACATTTTTTTTTAATTTGCATTAGAACTCGCACATTGTTACAATTGATATTTTCTTCGCTTTAGCACGAGATTGTTAAATCACCCACACAATTCTTGTTGGAAAAAGCATGAATTTCTTTAGTTAGAAGATATAACTTTTTTATTGACTTTGGACATGTGTAAATATGAATATTTAGCATTGGCATTGTCCTTGAAGAGACCATCATAATGATATATTATACGTCCAAGTCGGAGTTAAGATAAATGAGATATCTAATCTCAAAGTAGTATTTAAGTAGTCTTTGTGTTTTCTCAGTGATACACCATGCTTCACATTCACAAATTTTCGAGAAGTTTGAGCATCACCGCAAGAATGGTGTGTTAGTTGTCTTGCTAGATAGATATAGTAGTCGAAGTAGCATAAAGTTGCTACATTTTTATAACTTATCTACTAGTTCGTGTGATATATGTCTGCTAGTTCGATCCATCTACTTTGTTCTACAACTTAAACTAGCATTGAGATGTTGTTTGGTTGATTTAAAACAACATTGGGTCATTTTTTACCTAGTTCTTGGTCTTTATCATATTTGGCGATTTCTTTGAAGGATAAGAGTTTTGTAAATTCATTTCGGTTATTTGCAAGTGATTTTTAACCAATGGTTGATTGTTGATTAATAATACAAGTTGTATGTTTCTCCTCATGGATATACACCATCTTTATGATGGTGGAAGCATGTTAAATGCGTGTGTATTGTAAGTTATTTGTTTTCTATTTACATTTTCAATATCTTGGTATGTGTTACTCTCATTATTGGTCCAAAATCTTGTATTTTTTCCATCTCCCAAAACCATGTACATCAATGAAGCAAAGATAATCTTACTATCATGTAACTGACTAATGGAACCGATAATGCTAGACCAGACTCCATAACCAACCGGAGGACGAAAACTAGCACCGAACCCACCATCACTACCATAAAAGCTTTAATGAGTCTAACCCATAAAGATTCATGCTCATTAAATAACCTCTATATCCACTTGTACAAAAAAAACGAAGAGTTAAAAGCCTCAAGACTCTTAACTTCCACCCCCTTTCTCCTTTGAATTAAGAATGACATCCCACTTCACCCAACTCACTCGCCTCTCCTGAGTGTCTGCTCCCAGTAAAATTGAGCTCTACACGACTCCAGACTACGATCCACTCCTCTAGGCATCTTAAACATCAACATGTAATAGATACCCCAAGCAGCCCAAAACAAAACTAAGCAAAGTTAAACGACCACCCATAGAAAACATCTTGACCTTCCACGTAGATAACCGTTTCTTAAACTTGTCGGTAAACACCTTCCATCCTTTCAAATGAGCCATATTCTCTCCCCTCTTGGAAGCCCCAAGTACATAAAAGGAAATGATGTTGCACTACACCCGTGAAAGAAGCAACATCATGAACCGATGTTGAGTCAACTCCAACACCTAATAGATTTGATTAAAAAGATTAATCTTTAAACCGGACGCTAGATAAAAACACATAGGGATACGAATAAGACTCTAGACATTGTGCTCGTCACATTATCCCATGAACAAGTCATTTATGTTTTAATTGTATTTAATTGGTCACTAACCTTTTATTGTATTCTCATACACTATTATAGTACATTTCACGCATGTAATTGTCATTTAAGATGTTACAGTCGACACAATCCCAACGTCATATACCTAAATTAACAAATTATGCCATATTTAATGTCATAGTAGACGAGTAGACGACACATAAGATTCATTACGAGTTTACCAGGTTGCAATCCACCTCAATAGTATATTTAGAACCTATTTAATGACATGTCAAATACAATTAAAACTAAATGACTTAATAAAACAAATTATTTATTATTGGTTGTTATTTTATTACATTAATACATATTAATGTTTTATTAATCTAGAAACCTTTTTAATTTGTGATGAATCAGTTGCAAAATTCTAGAAAACATGTGGGTGGGATGCTTCATGCTTTTTGCTTCCGGAAATTTAGTGGATTATTTTATCATATAATTTTTCAAGTTCTGTTGCTTAATATGTTTCCATATGTGTTTTCTTGATTGTACATGTCTTGACTCTTGAGGGTTATGGTTTCTTGTTTCATAGTTTTAGTATGTATCATTTTTTTCTCGATTTTCGATTAAATTATTTTAATTGTTTCAATAAAGATATTATTTAAAATTTTAGTACCAATGAACTAATGAAGGATGAAATTTCATTATAACTTTTACAAAACCTCTAGTTATCCCAACGGACAGATAGCAACCCATTTGAAACTATATTTTAAAGATGAAGGCGACAACAAATTATCAAAAATACAACATGAAAGCAAATAAAAGATTGATTAAATCCAACAAATGGAGCTAAGACAAATGTGTAAGTGTGACCCATGTCACTATCGGAATTAATCATAATTTTTATATGTAAAGAAAGCATCAAAACATGTAATATAATGCAGATTTTTTTGTACAAACAAATAATAAGTTGGATGACGACATTAACAGTAAATGGGATTTAAAAGTGTTTGCTTTGAGTAAGATTGTTTACACTAATTTTTGGTTCTCAGCATATGCATCAAACTTGAATACGAATAATTCACATTAATTATATTACCCAAACATATAAAATTACTATATTTTGATTTTTTACGGCTTAATCAATATATTTTATTTAGCTAAATTTTTGTCACATGTTTTTTAAAGAAATTTCAACTGTAACTATTATTACTCCCAAAAATCGGTTTAACATGTATTGAAGTAATACCGTTTCTCATTACCTACATGACATCAGATGATGTACTTTATGAAATAAATGTTGCTTTACTTATTATTTGCTGATTTAATAGGTTATACACATACCATAAAGGTATATGCGAAATTCATATATGGTATATGAGAATTTCATATGATATTTTAGAAAATGTGCATGATTCCATATAGGTTAATGAAAAATCTTATCAACTTTAACATTTGTTAAACCGGAAATAACTAATCACGGTGGAAATTTCTTTAAACTATGGTTGGCTTTTAAATATATTGCCCTAATTATATTTATGAAATTGTACTCATTGTGTTAACAACAATTTATTTAATCGAAATACAATACTTGTAATTTAACAAAATGATGTAACTTACCAAAAGGGTTCAAATATATATATATATATATATATATATATATATATATATATATATATATATATATATATATATATATATATATATATATATATTAACAAAATGATTGTTGTTAACATTTTATATCAAAAGTCAAAACATCATAATTGTTTTTTTCTTCTTGGTTAACAATTTAACATTTCATGTCGTTGTCTTCAAAGTCAAAACCGGAGTGTTCAAGTTTGGAATGTCCAAAATCTCATTACCTCCTATTTCAGCCCACTTTCATGCCGCCCAAACGTTTTCTTTTATAACTTTTATGACATTACATTTAAAATAATTGTATTACATTTTTTTTATTGTATAAGCAAAAAGAACACCAACTTTGACTTCTAAAGATTCTCCAACGCCGCATTGAACTTGTCTACCCAATACATAATCAAAAGTTACCAGTAGAAAACAACACAAATTTATTATATATCTCAAACTTTTGTTAACTTAACCACTCAACTTTCAATTTGTTCGTCTATCTTTTTGTTCAATCTTCGCAATTTTGAATTCAATGATGACTTGTTGCTGATGTGATAAATTATTGTAACAATGTGATTAAACAATAATCAGAGAAGTTACAAGATGCAAGAAACATGCATTTATTAAAAGTACTGACACACCATTCAAATGTCATGTTGAATCGGCTGGCGATGAGGTTTTGGGGCTACACAAAACAAAAGAGGAAACTTTATTTGATAAAGAAACAACACGAGTCAAAGGGTATATGGGTAATTTAATACATATGTACATACCATTAGGGTTTCCAAGCTCATAAAAGTTTCTAAAAAGAGAAACCGCTTCTTTACCCATTATCCCACCCGTGCATTTGTAACTTTTCCTCCCAACATCTTCACCACTATTCGATATAGTTGTCGTATGCAAGGATAATATCGATCCACACCCTCCAAATTTATCATTCGCACAACCATAGTACACCTCTTTTATACCTACATCCATGTGTAGTGTAAAAAAGGGCACCATGTTTATATATCAAATTAAAATTTCTCATTAAGACTTAGTTTGTTACACAAGACATGATTAGACTGAACAAGCTTTCTATGACTATTTCTTATTGACAGCAGTCTGAGTCTTTGCCTTAACTTTTTGTGTGGGATAAAAAGTAACAACTTTTGTCCTATTGACATCGGTCACAGTATTTGTCACACCTTTTTGGGAGAGAGAAAATAAGTAGTTTTTTTTTTTTTTGTCTGGTTGCAGTTTTAGTCTAATGCACGCCAAATATAGTAAAATGCAGCCTATGGTGTGTTAGTGTGAATAAGAGTACCAATAAATGATAAGGCAGATGCACACATTATACATGGTTCACATGTAACATAAAGAGAGCAATTTGAGAACATCTTAACAACTTCATGTTTTGTAAGTCCCTTTTCTTTCCACGCCTTAAGCAGAACATCAATAGCTTCCATTTCAGCGTGTCTTGTAGCCTGGCATTTTAGAGGCCAATTTGTTAGTGTTAGTGTTAACATAATGGTGAGTTAAACAGAGTTACAAACAGAAAATAGAAAATTGTTATAAAAGTATGTACGTTTCTTGTTTCATTAGTCCGATTTCTTCCACATGATATGACCTTCCCATCCATAACAATAACACATCTGTTGCATGAAAAAAGAATTTTGTTCATATATGTCAAATAATGTTTAAAGTACCAAAGAATTTGATAACCAGAGAACATAGACAAAAAGAGACATACCCCACACTCACCTCAAGATTGTCAAATGCAATTTTAACCTGAAAATAAAATCTGATTATACAGATAGTTTGATATAACTGTTGGATGATTAATTAAATGTGTACATCACCTTTTGATAACAAGATAATATGACAAATTTGTAGCCTAAAATCTATACCATTAATATTTTTAAAAAATTTGATACACACTGGGAAATGGTACCAAAACAGATTGTAAATTTATAGGACAGAAAGTGAAAGTTGCAAGTGAAAATGTGAAATGCATACCTGTTCTAATGCCAGATTCATAAATGCAACAATTTCTGGCATTTCTTATCCCATCTTGATATGGACTGAAATAAAATTACAGGCATTGAATAAAGGGAAAAGAAAACTCCTAGAAAGTAATAACAAACAGTAAGATTACAAATATCCAAAGCTCTCATGGAATTTGAGCGTATAATCAGTTATGATCAACGATTTATGATCCACATTTGCAATATATATTCATACGCGGTCAACATCCACGAAACAGCAACATTTTATTCGTAAGGCAAGTCGCAAGACTGTGAGTGCATATGTCCTTTGTCACACATGCATTGCAAACAAAGGATCTTATCAATTACGGAAACTAAACGAAGTCATATTTTTTTCTTTCATACCTGACGCAAACTTCTAATATTGATGCCGAAGTTCAGTTAGACATATCATCAAGCATCTAGAGTGCACAACCAGCTATTGGCTACACAGGTTAGTTTCAGAACGATGAATACAAGAATACACACATTCAACAAGCTGCAATGGCCTGAGAGGAGGAGGAGAGAGAAGTGGAAGTGAATCGCCCTGCTTCTATTGAGCAGAAATCCTGGCTTCTCATCCTCGAGTCGAGCGGACAAACGTAATGGACTGGTTTACTTTTTGTTTTGTTCATCTGATAATTCGATTTTGACCCGGAACTGGTCCAAACCAAAAGAATTTTTGACCCGGAGCTGATATTCGATCTGATGAGGCCCGTCTGATTTTTCCGGCCTAACTGTATGATATATTTTAGAGGAAAAACCATTTAGTAGGGAGGTTATGCGTAACTTATTAAAAAAAGCTGAACTTAGTCTCGATTATTGTTAGTGATTAGGGTTTAGATCCAAACCATTTATAGTTTGGGTGAATTTCATATATATCCTTATTAAACGTCTAAATATCGTATTTGCCCGACTTAAATTTTAAATATCGTATTTGTCCTTCTTAATGTTTTAAAATATCGGATTTGCCCAAATCTATTTTTTAAACAGTTTTTATTATTTAAAAATCCTTTTTTATATATTAAAATCATCAAAAATAAAAAAAATAACCAAATAGACCATAATACCCTTGCCTTCTAAATCACAAAAATCCATTACCTGCCACATTTGAAATCACGGTCAATATATGTAACCCCGCCTATTTTTTTTCGTGCCTTCTGCCAATAATTTGCTATAGTCGTATGTACAGCTTAAGAAGGAGTTTAGCAGTGAAGTCGAGTCTGCAATTGTTGCATTTCTAGTCTATCACTATTGACTCTTCCATTGGTCATGCAGATCTCACGCATCTCTTTAAAGTCGCAAATCATGAAGCTAAAAAATCTCTTTAAAATCGCAAATCATGAAGCTAAAAAATCTCGTTCACAGAATCGGTTACTTAGGGTGGTTAGTATCAATTTGTAACTTATTCAACAATAATCCCAAAATATTAACAAGCAATGTAATTATGATAATCTGTGTGTTTCCACTTTCTCCCTATTTTAATATATACTGCAGATCATCAGTAGTTCCACAACACCAATGGCCCACAAACCAAAAGCTCTCCACATTTGATGTGATTTACCTACACGATTACCTATAGTTTATACCTAGGATTTTTGAAGCTATCTATAGTTCTAATCACGAAATGAATAATCATTTAACAAATATAAAACATAAAATTACATGATGATTATATGATTGCAGCAAAAAATTGGCAGAAGGCACGAAAAAAAAAAGAAGAGGCAGTGTTACAATATCGATCGTGATTCCAATTGACGCAGGTAATGGATTGTTGTGATTTAGAATGCAAGGGTATTATTGTCCATTTGGTTATTTAATATTTTTTTTTGATGATTTTAATATATAAAAAAGTATTCTTAAATAATAATAATAGTTTAAAAAATAGATTTGGGCATATCCAATATTTTAAAAAATTAAGAAGGGCAAATACAATATTTAGAGTTTATGTCGGGCAAATACGATATTTAGACGTTTAACAAGGGTATATACGAAATTCTCCCTTATAGTTTAGATTAGGTCTTTTATGTATCTCTATTTATATGAGGTTTAACATCATTTTATTTATCAATGAAGCATTCTATTTTCTTACATTGTTAGTGTTCTGAAATATATCTTATTAGATTTAAGAAATAGTTAAACTAATATTATTTTTATAAATATTTACTTGATTGGAGTGAACAAATTATTAAAAAGTGTATATATTCATAAAAGTATTTATTTGATTTGTGTAAAAAAGTTGTATTTTAGTAGTTTAAAAAACAAAAAAATGTACCCAATTTAAGGGAAACGGCTAGGGACCTTGTATATATGAAGTTCTATTTTGTGCACTTCTATCTTTCAAGTTTCATCTAATCTAAAATAACATGAATGCCTTAAAACAATGTTAAGTTTAATGGAGAGTAGTTAAATAAGATGAAATGTCTAGTTGACATTTAATGGATTAAATTTAACCATTATGTATGTCAATTTGGAGTTCAATGACATTAAACTCTTCAACGGGAAAAATGAAACTTTTTAACATTTTTAAATAATATCAATTAATGTCTTCAACGGAAAAAACCAAACTTTTTAACCTTTTTAAATAATATCAAAACTAAATTTTATAAGGGAAAACTGCAATAAAGTCCCTATATATTGGCCCCATAATCGATTTAGTCCCTATATATTTTTTTATTCAATTAAGTCCCAAATACCAGTAATCGTATTCAATTTAACCCTTTGACCCGGTCAACAGGTCATTCAACTTTCAAAAATTACATTTTTGACCCAGATTTCAAATTTTATTACAATTTTGGTCCAAAATATACACTTTTGGCCCAGATTTTAAATTTTGTTACAAATTTGGTCCAAACTTTACTCTTTTTGCCCAAATTTTAGAATTTTAGTATGAATTCATCCTAACTTTAGTTTTTTATACAACTTTTTTTCTCAAATAATTATTTCTAATATGTTTTTTCTTTATAAAATCATATTTATACAAAAAAACGTATTTTCACATAAAAATCTTATATTTTCTATATAAAAACATCTTTTAAAAAGTTTTTTGTATATGAAATATCTAGTTATAAAAATAGGTATTTATTAAGTATATAAATATATACAAATCCGTTTTTAGAAAAAATGTATACAAAAACGTATTTTACAAAATAAAATGTATACAAACACCTATTTTATCCATAAATTTTTTTTATAAAATCCTGTTTATTTACATTTTTTTATTAAAACGTGTTTGAATAATTTTTTATATAATGCATGTTTGTATACATTTTATAAAATGTATACAAACACGATTTTATAAAATATATATAAACATGTATTATATAAAAAATTATTCAAACACGTTTTTATAAAATGTATACAAACACGATTTTATAAAATGTATAGAAACACGTATTATATAAAAAATTATTCAAACACGTTTTTATAAAAAAAATATAAACAAACACGATTTTATAATAAAAAAATATAGATACACACCTATTTTTGTATACATTGTTTTTTGTAAAATACGTTTTTGTATACATTTGTAAAATACGTTTTTGTTCCATGGATGATTTGCAAATGAAATTATTGACTTCCATTTTGTTATCTTATTTTTTTTAGGAAAATAACTGAAGGGTTATATGCAAGAAATAGCATCATACAACTTACATAACAAAAATGAAACCCCAACAAATGGAAACCATCCTAACCAACCTCATTGCCCACTATGAAGCCAAAAAACTATCACTCAGAAACATGCAGGACGAAAGTTGGGAACACCAGAGCTACAAGAAGGAACTCATGACGCAGATGGACTCCAAACCATCGTACGCTAACTACCTGAAAGAAGAAAAATTACAGTAACCCAGCGCCAAAGGCGTGCATGATTCTCATCTAGTTAAACATTATAAATTAAATAAACATATTTAAAAAATCATTTATTATAAAATGGGAAAACTGTAATAAAGTCCCTACATATTGGCCTCATAATCGATTTAGTCTCTATATTTTTTTTATTCAATTAAGTCCCAAATACCGATAATCGTATTAAATTTAACCCTTTGACCCGGTCAACATGTCATCCAACTTTCAAAATTTACATTTTTGGCCCAGATTTCAAAATTTATTACAAATTTGGTCCAAACCGTTTTTATAAAAACGGTTTGTATGATGCTATTTCTTGCATATAACCCTTCAATTATTTTCCTAAAAAAATAAGATAACAAAATGGAAGTCAATAATTTCATTTGCAAATCATCCATGGAACAAAAAACAATATAGATACAATGAAAGGAAGGAAGGGCAATGGTCAGTTCAAATTGTTATAAATCATTTTCAATACATATACTTCTTCATGAAGGTCCTATTTTGTCATGTTTCCACCTTAAGAGCCAAAATGGATAAAATATACGAAAGCAATAAATGGTTGTAGTTTACCAACTAATAAGTAGTTAGGAGTGGTTTCTTCAAATAAACAGCATCGAGGTGTTTTAATTGAATATAAATAAATGTTGATTAAAAAATCAACCATAATAAATGAAAATGTTTTTTTTTTGCCAAATGTCATGTTCTCCTTTCCTTTAGTTTAACACATACTCATTTTGTAGGATTTTTTGATTTTTCCTTTTTCCACTTGACATTTTTTTGTGCTTTCTATTTTGTTAACTTTAAAAGTAAATTCCAAATTTTATGCTGGTTTATTTATATTATGTAGAATGTAGAATCATTAAATTAAATTTCAATAACCATAGAGAAAGGTTTTCTTTTGTGTACAACAGTCGTTTATTTTGATAGTAAACACTACGAACTTAATTTATATTCACGTTCATTACAACTGCATGGATGAAACAACATCCGTTCACTTCTGGAACCGAAAGATGGTCAAAAGAAGAGAGGGTCTACATGCATAACATAAGGCAAAAATACCCGTACATCCTTTGATTAGAATAATGTCTGCAATCAGCCTCCAGGCACTGGACTTCAACAATGTAGCTTCCTGTAGAATAATTACCATCAACAAAGATAGTAAATAAAATTCGTTTTGCTTTTCAATCGTTGGTTTCTTTTATATCCCAACAAATAATAAAATACCCTTTAGTAAAAACCTCATAAGCAGTCTTCGTTGGGAAACTCTCAATTTGTATATCCCACCAAATACTAAAATACCATTTAATAAAAACCTCATAACCACATTTGTTGAAGGGTATTAATGTATTCAGTTTAACTCTTCTATTTGTTGTGATTAGCGTTAAAAGGAAAACAAAAATAAAAATAAAAATGTAACATCATCTTGCTCAACCAATTTCAGACTTTGAGTTTGAGTGGTATTTTGGTAATTTTGCACCGCCAACGTCTCTCCCGCTGCGATTGAATCCTTGTGCCAAAATAAATAAAAAATTAGTAAAAATATATAAATAAATAAAAACATGTGGTATTTATAAATGGGGATCGAAATAACCTTCATAAAAATATATTAATGCCTAGCCGTAGGTGTATGCCAATTCAACTCCGAATCAAGATCCAATCTCAACAGCAAATCACAAAAAAAAGGTAAACACACACATACTCAAATACACATCAGCAACATAAGTGATCATATTTCAAAAAAGAATTTGTA